GATGTCAAAACCGCCTTCCTTAATGGAAAGTTGGCTGAGGATGTTTACATGAGTCAGCCAGAGGGTTTTGTCAGTACAGAGTACCCTAATAGAGTGTGTAAGCTTGAGAAATCCATCTATGGATTGAAACAAGCACCTCGCAGATGGAATCTTTGTTTCGATGAGAAAGTCAAAGAGTTTGGATTTTTGAGGAGTGAAGATGAGTCCTGTGTATATGTCAAGGCTAGTGGGAGTATAGTTAGCTTTTTGGTATTTTATGTGGATGACATACTACTCATAGGAAATGACATCCCAACTCTGCAGGAAGTGAAGTCCTGGCTTGGGAAGTGTTTCGCTATGAAGGACCTTGGAGAAACTGCCTATATTCTAGGGATAAGGATTCTGAGAGACCGGAGTAAAAGACTAATTAGACTTAGTCAGAGTACCTACTTGGATAAGGTGGTGAATAGGTTCAGCATGCAGAATTCCAAGAAAGGAGAGTTACCGATCCAGAGTAACGCCAGACTGAGTAAGACTCAGAGCCCGAGTACATAGGCTGAGATAGCTGAGATGAGTCGAGTACCTTATGCTTCCGTTGTAGGCTCGATCATGTATCTATGACTTATACTCGTCCTGATGTTGCCTTTGCATTGAGTATGGTCAGTAGATATCAGGGGAACCCTGGCAAGGCTCACTGGACTGCGGTAAAAACATTCTTAAGTACCTGCGGAGGACTAAGGACTGGGTCCTTACCCTTGGTGGGAGTGATGACTTGAGAGTAGAAGGGTATAGTGATGCTAGCTTTCAGACTGATAGGGATAATTTCCGCTCTCAGTCAGGCTGGGTCTTTACCTTAAACGGAGGAGCAATTTCTTGGAAAAGTTCCAAGCAGGAGACAGTAGCCGATTCAACTTGCGAATCAGAGTATATAGCGGCAAGCGAGCAACAAAGGAGGCTTCATTGGAGACCTTGGAGTTGTACCTGCTATAAAGGAGCCTATAGAGATTTTCCGTGATAGTGAAAGCGCAGTTGCCTTAGCAAAGGAACCAAGGGATCACGGGATATCCCGACACATCGACAGAAAATACCATTTCATCAGACATCGAATAGAAAAAGGACTCCTCGTGGCAAAGAGGGTATCATCGGATGAAAACCCTGCAGATCCCCTCACGAAGGGACTGGGTAGGGTTAAGCATCTCCAGCATGCAAGGTGCATAGGGCTGAAGGATGATATTAGTTTTAGTAGTTAGATAGCTTTGAAATGTGTAAAGTGTAATTGACATTTGATGATGAAGAAAAGTTGTGTTTATTTATGAGTAAAGTGTTGCTATCTTTTGTCAATCGTTTACTATTATTTCATTTTGCATGTTTTGACTTCCAGAATAATTGTGTTTGGTATATCATATTATTCGAATTCTCCACAGTCGGTCATATGTTGGAAGTAGGTATGAATCAAGACTGTCATGAGTTGGTTGTAGAGGTCTAAGATGTTGGACATGGCTACAACACTCATGAGTACTCATAAGTTCTGAGTATTGGATTCAACCCACGCTTGCTGGTATCACTTTATGGAATTTATCTCGAGTGATCGCGAGACGGTAATATCATATAAGTCTTCAAACCTAGAGATATGACTTGTTGCCTATGAGTTGGTTATGCATTGATTGTACGAAAATGCATTGGTAACTCGATGTTATAAAACTTGCTTTTGTGTATAATTCAACAAGTAGTAGAACAAGCATATGAGTCGAAGTTTATCTGTTCCTTCTTGGATTAGAAGCGATATCTGGGCTCCTCGATGATTTTGTGTTGACCCATGTATCGGGCACGGTCAGAACTAAGTTGATGTGTTCAATTAAGTTCTATGTCAAACAAATCGGAAATCGAGAAACAAACTGCTAGACAATAAGTAAGACATTGTTCCATGTATTTGTCCGGCTGATATCTAGAACATATGATTATATGATCACTTATCTTAAATGGCGTATCATCATCATCTCAGTTCCGAGAGACCTTGAAAGAGCTACGATTGCTAATCGGTTCCTGAAGTCATACTTGCAGTTATAGTTATTAGACTTATCCAAGTGGGAGACTGTTGGATAAGGTGTCTAAGTCCATAACTATTTCTGGTATGTACTTGACCCGGTTTGGCATGGTCCATTTGGGTTGCATGGCATCATGCATTTGGATAGACTAAAATGAGAGAAATAACACTTATGGTTTATTAATATATTATAAGTTCTAATATATTAATACTATTATTTAACTAGTATTGATCAAGAATTAATTTGGAATTAATTAAAGTGATCAAAAGAAGACTAATTAAATATATTGGTTGATTGTGTAAATCACTCATACTTGTATAGTGGGCTAATGCTCTATGGATTATCAAGTTGGGCTAAAAACCCATAGGATGCTCCATGGTGGTAATAGAACCCATGGGTCATGGAAATGAAAGGTCATGACAATTAGGGTTTACATGGTGTAACCCTAATTGTAACACACTATATAAGGACCCTTATGTTCACCAAAATCGGCACTTAAGCAAGAAAGAAGAGGGCTAGCCGATTTCAAGTAGTGTGACATTTCTCTCAAGTTTATTCCAAGTGCATTTGGTGTTGTGTGAGACATTTGAGGCATCACACTTGAGGTGCTAGGCTCACAAGGTTTTCAAGGAATCCAAACTACTACAAGGTATGTTTTCTAGCTAACTTTTATGTTTAAAAGTTCCCCATGTATACTAGATAGGATTATGAACCTTGGAAAAATCATTTTGCATGTATCTTAGTCAAACATAGATCCAAGGTTTCTAGGGTTGCATGTACACCTTAGGAGTGTTAGAATGCTCAAAACGATTCACTTGCTTGCTGAATCATATTCTAAAGCACCTTCTTTTCCTTCTCCAAGCTACCAAGAGTACTAAAAGGACCAAGAATCACCAAGAGAGGATAAGGTTAGGTTTTTTGCGTCTAGAGAGTGATGGAGGCTGGGGATGAGCAAACCCTAGCCTTCACTTTCCTTTAAATATGACTCAAACCTGAAAAATTAGGGTTTTGGACATCAAGCGGTCGCCACGCCGTGGCCAAAATACAGCCACGTTGTGGCAACCAAAACCGGATACGCGTTGAATAACGCTTGGCCACGTTGTGGTGATGCCTTAACCACGTCATGGCAACCCCAAAAATCATAATTTACTTAACTAAAATGTACCTCACGGTCCAAATGTTACATTTGGTATTATATTCAATGAATTATAATCCTTCAAAGTTGGGATATCAAATATTTCAACTTTTCAGCTTTCAACTTTTGTATTTTGTGAAAATCGTTAAACAAGCATATATCATTCGTTTTATGTCGGATTGGCATGCAGTTTTTTCCAACGTGTAATTTAGAGTTTATACATAATTTTAGACAATAATTTTGTCTTTTTGGTGTTATATTCAATGAATTACAATCCTTCAAAGTTGGGATATCAAAACTGACAATTTTCAACTATTTTTTAGATTATAATTCTGAATTTTATGTATCTTTGATAGATAAATCACATGAAAGGGATCTTGGTTGAGTACCGAAAAATTCTTACTTCGTAATGGTAACGAATATGGTGTTGTTCTTTGAAAATCTCAAGACAAAAACAAAGATTGTTTCAGCTACATCAAAACCTTTGATAAAATTCAAGACATACATCTAACAAATTGGTCAACCAAACCAATGTTTTTTCGAAATGGTAAAGGACATGAAGACAAAATACTATAAGTATTGGGGTGCCTGCAACAAGATGAACAGTTTTATGTACTTTGCGGTTTTACAATCTTTGTTCTATTTTGATACAGTTATTACTTCTTATTAAATACTAACAAAATTATCATTTTGTGTTTATATATAGATTGTACAAGCTTTAAAATGTTAGATTTATATGAAAAAAATATGGGGAAAAGGCCAATGGAAGATTAGATTAAGACGTTTATTAGTTGGATTGATTTTAAAGTTTAAACTATGTTTTTTTGTATTACAATCATTACTTTTGTATGTTTGTGTTAAGATTGTTAACTTTTGTTGGTAACCTTGATTTATATATTAGTTGCTTTTATTTAGGAAAATTAATTTTGCAATTTATAGTATTATAGATAATGTCATTAATTAATTTGATTCAAAGTTCAAACAAATGGTATATGTAATTTTTTTTTAAATCTAAAACGAACATTCAAACAAACAATTATATTTTACCGAGTTATACCGTATCAAACCCAAAAACATATTCGTTAACGAGTTGTAGCGTATGCACCTAAAGTTCTACCGGTTCAAGGGATACAAGAACTAGAAAAAGCGGATCTGGACCCGAACCTAGAAACGGACCGGCCTCATACCGGTCCGGTCCGGTCCAAATGCTCACCCCTATTACAAAGAAGACAATGAAAAAAAAAAACAGCTCAAACAGAGTTCAGAGTTCGTACGAAAGAATTAGTAGGTTTAAAGTTGTCAAAAAATTGAGATTTTTGCATGTCACCACCTGCAGAAATCTTAAGACTATTTGTGACAATCATGACTATTTTGATCGTTTTTCGAATTTTTGGCTATTATGGTCATAAAAAAAAGGTTTAATAAAAACAAAAAAGAAAAGAAAGTAAACATTTCCAGCCCCGAGATAAATCCAACCATGACATTTTGTAGCATTGGTGCATTGGATGTTCATATTAATATAGAAAATTAAATACAATGTGTAGAGATAGAACAAAAATTAGGTTGTTGACATTGAGATGTTGACTTTAAACATTGTTTGGATGTAATTCTTAGAGTATATGAATATTTAGTTTGATTCATATAAAGACTTTCTAGTTCCTCACCTCTATCCAACAATCGTATCATTATTTCAACCATGTTAAAATTAACGCATACATTCATTTTAATGATGATGATCTAAAACCCTCAACACAAATAACCATAAATAATCAACAAATAACTCAAATCTTTTTGTCACAATCACATTTTTATTAAATGAAAATGAATCGACACATGATAAATTAATCCAACTCTTTACCAACCTTAATCCCCATAGAATTAGCCGTACCTATAATCGATTTTGAAATAGCCTCTAACGACATATACTGACAATAAGGATCCGACTGCTTCACCTTCGCGATCTCATATATATGTTTTAGGGTTAGGCTCGATGCGACAACGTGGCCTGGCATCCGGCTGCCGGAGGTGATTCCAGCAGCCTGTTTCAAGTACCATGTGACGGAAGGTGATCGGATGGTAAGCTCAAAAGTATGATCTTTGAATACCTTGACAGTGGCAGCAACTGGGGTGTCGGGTTTGTATTTTTGTGTTCTGGCGTTGAAATCTTTGCAGAATGCCATTATGTTTAGCCTGTATTGACCTATCGCCGGGCCAACTGGTGGTCCTGGTCTGGCAGCTCCGGCGGGGATGGTAAGCCGGATGGTTGCCGCCACCGGCTGCCTCTTTAGGATCTCCTTCAACGACGCCATCTTTAGATCAGCTGTGTGTGTGTATGTGTGTGCATGTGTGAGAGTGGTAGTGTTCTTCCATGGGATAATTAGAATCGGTGTTGGAATGTAACAATAACAACAGATTTGGTGCCTTCATTGAAGGAAAAATATTTAATTAGTTTTTTGTAACACGTTGAATAAGACTTAATTAAGTAGGTAGTTTAAAATTTAAACTCAATATCTTAAATTTATCTTTTAAAATTTCTATTTGTGTTTTAATTTAATTATTTGTTACTCCCTCGTCCAGAAATATACCCATCCAACAACGATCAAATTAATTAAAGATGTGTATATTTCTTAAATTATTAGTTTATCATTCATTTCAATCAAGGTTGTCAAGATCGGAATCTTTCGTAGAATTGTTTTTGGGTTTACAAGATCGAGATCGTAAGATCGGGATCGGGATCCTAAGATCTTACAAGAAAAACACAATTTTAACTTGTAATTTTAAAACATGAAAAATATCTCAAACATTTAGTTTTTTCCGTTCAAAATCTATAACATCTTCAAAACATTAGTCACAATCACAACACAAAATGATAAATGATAAATGGTAAATGGTAAAAGACATAAAATGGTAAATTCATTTTTTTTCATCTGCAAAAAAAGAAAAAAAAATAAGGAAAGGTAGGATCGGATCGAATCCCGATATTCAACTTATATATTACTTTTATTTTTTATTAATTAAAGATGTTTGTTATCGACATTACATACACCAACATTATAACTTACAAGAACTTATATAAGGCTCTACGATTAGAGCGAGTTAAAACTATATAATTGATAATGTGATTACTAAATGAGAGATCATACAAGCATTAACCATATGTTAGTGGGATAGAATGATGTTATTACTAAATGAGAGATTATTGAAGCGTTCATAACATGTTAAAGCTTCTACAATTGTGAGTTCAGTGAGAGTTGAATGAGTTCAGTGAGAGTTGAATGAGGTGATAGATCTATTTGTCATTCAATGGATTACATTCTACCATAGTGAGATGCTACCTTGACATTCAATGGATTTGGAGTTCAATGGTCATTGAACTCTTCAATGGGAAAAAGGAAAATTTTTAATTCTTAAATATATACTATAAATTAGCTTTTGTAATTTTCTATTGGACTTTGAAGATTTCAGCGTATTGTAGAAAAAAAATTGATAGAGTTGTATAGAATATAAAATAAATGATGTGGCAATCCATTGAACTTTATGGAATTCAATGCAATGTGGATGCCCTTAGTGAGAGAGGAGGGAGATAGGGATATGAAGATAGAGAAATTAATTATAAAGAATAAAAGATAGTTGAGATTTTGTGAAAACACACATTTCTTCTCTAGAAGCTCACTATGGGGCTCTTTGGTAATGCTCTTAATGGTTCTATTAAGTGGCCGACTCTAAATCAGTCGGATTTAGAGTGATTGGTTTGTTACTTTTATGCTTCTAAATGGAACAACAAGGCTCCGACTAGACCTAGGAGAGGTGTTGAATGAAAAAATAGATTGTGTTTGCCATATACCATAATTAGGCAACATCCATCTTCTTCCTTCCCATACGTATTAAGGAAACATGCACTCATTTATCAATTTAAATAATTTAGTCTATATTATTGTCAAAGGTTGTTATAACTTTCCATACATTGTACCTTAATTTCCTCTGTAATTATAATAGGTTGTGTATATATCTTTTAGGCATCTCAATGATAAAATTCAGTTCATGTAACACCCGTATTCCACATCGGACCAGTTAAAGACTAAAAGGAGTCAAAGGTGTGGTTTTGGGGAAAATCACATACCACAACGTGGTGGGATAATGATCACGACGTGGCATGATGTTTAAGTGATCGTGTATCCGGGTGGAGGCCACGACGTGACAAGTAGGATGCCACGAAGTGGCAAGTGGTTCAGCCTAAGCCCATGATTTTTAGGGTTTCTCCCATATTTAAGCATTCTAACTCTTGGATTAGGGCATCTCCTTTAGCCTCCATCTCCCCATGTCGAAACCCTAGCCCCATTTCTTGTTTGTGAGCTTGTTTGATTAATTAGAAGCCTTGTTCTTGGTTTTGGTGAAACTTGAAGAAGAAGGAAGTTCATTATGGTTCAAGGAAACAAGGAGCTAGCTTGGATCCATCATTCTCTATAGATTTCTAAGTTATTGGTGGTCTAAAGTTCACATCTTGACCTTTTTTCTTCATGTTTCAAGTTTGAGCTTCTTTTAGATGATTTTGGTCCCTACCATGAATGTTATTGGAGTTTGAGGAACTCCGGAGCTTGTTGTGACTATCAAATGATCCATAAGTTTATGAGAATAGAAAAAGAGTCATGTTTGAAGCTATTTTGGGTCCATGAGCAAGTTAGGGTCATATTGAGGACTCAATGGACTTAGGGCTTAAGATCTTGTCATATGGTGAGGTCTTAATGGATAAAGTTGGAAACTTTATCCATTAAGTCATTAGGAAGGATTAGATCTGAAGTTTTGGACCTTGATTTGTATGAATTAAGTTCTTAATAAAGTTTTGGGACAAACTGCCAGTTCCCACAATATGGCCTAGGAGGGCTCACGACGTGGCGAGGCCCAAATTCGCTATTGTTCTGGCCATGACATGCCTACGACGTGGCCAAGGAGGGACCACATCGTGGTGATATCAGACATGTAGATTGTTTTTTATGGACATGCCCATGATGTGGCCAAGAGCTCCCCACGTCTTGGAGGCCGTTGACTTGGTCGACCGTTAACCATTGGCATTTGACCAGTTTGACTCTGGGTCAAACTTGGAGGTTTTCGGTTGCTGATGGAGTTATCTCTTTTAGTGTTAGACGGTTTGCGGAATTGAGTTGTGCAAGGTGTAAGAGTGTGGCTGTTGTAACACCCACAAATACGGGCTAGCCAATTAAGATCTATTAAGCATTAAAAATAACTTTTTGATAGAAGATTATTTACGATAAATAATCTTAACAAAAGTTATACTATATGTGACAAGGATTCCGTGCATATAAAGAACACTGAAATTCGACTTCGTATGAAGAAGTTATGATTTTTCGAAGTTTCAGCGTAGCAGTATACGACTCAGAAACCGAAATTGAAATCGGTCGATTGTTAGGAAAAACAATCTAAACGAGAGTTGAAGATCTCTTCCATACTTATCCGTCGATATAAAGACAATCGAGAATGAATATCGTATGAGAAAGTTGTGATTTTTATAAAGACTTTTACAGTCTAAGCATGTTAAAAACATAACTTTAAAAATAAAGTCAAAATTAGACAATGGAGTCTAAATGAAAGCTGTAGATATCATCAATAGCTAACCATGGATATAAAGAACGTTAAAACCTGAGTTCGTATGAAGAAGACACGGATTTTTGAAGTTTTATAAGAATTGCACGCGCAAGCACGCACCGACAAGGTGCGCGGCGCGCCCGACATAGCCACGCAACCCCACCAGATTTGTGTCATGTGTCAGCGTACGAAAGGAGCCATGCCAACGCCCCCGACCAAGCGCACGACGCGCCCAGTCAAGCTGTGCGACACGCCTCCCCAATTGCCTATAAATAGATTAGTTTCTAGCCCCTTTTCTCACACACATCACCCACATTCTCTCTGGAGATCTCTCGAAATCTTTAGCCCCATTTCTCCCTTAAAGTTCCCGATCCCTTCGGCGAAGCCCTGCGATGTCAGATAGCCAACGAATAGAAGCTTCTAGATCAGAGTTATGCCCACATAATTCCCATATTTTCGCTAAAACCTCTGTTAGTTAAGCTACACTTTTTTTTTTCAGTGTAACTTATATTTATAGCCATAAGTCGTTACTATGAACCTATAAATAATTTTTATTAGTGATTCTAAGTCATAATACTGATTGATCTACTTACGGGAGAGGTGTATAGAATGGTCACATTGTCTTGGTTGTTGGATTTCAGAAAAGCTATTGTGTCGAAATGATCCTATCTCCCAACTGTCATGCATGGTTGATCCTTACTTGATAGATCTTGATGTAGACATTGAGATTAGTGAGGAATCTAGACTATCATTAATCGCCAGGAATATAAATCTAAGACTTAGTAATGTTCGTACTTAGATCATGTCAAAAGGAAAAAAACTATAGGTGTTAGGCGAAGTTCTGTCGAGATCACCAATCATTCACCTAAGTTAGGTGAGTGCATAGTTACTTTCAGCTTACACATAGATATTAAGTATCTATTAAATGCTATATGTGCATGCTATCTGCGATATTTGTGCTATAACATGATTTACTTATTTAAATTACTTTATCATATTCGTATTGAGTAGTAAGCATTTTTGGGAAAATAAAATAATGGCGAGAGGTCATACATTGTATTACGGGGACTAGTCATCTAACAGAGTATATGTGACGACCACTTGTATACTACCTGGTAAGTTTTATCCTACCGTGTTTCCTTCTGATCGAATTCGGCTTCATGTGATCTTTCCGTTTTTCTTTCTTTCCCTGTTCATGAACCTTGCTGCCGATTTTCTTTTGATTCAATCAAATGGATTCCTAAACCGCAATTGTTTGCGGAGTACAAGTAAAAATCGAAGTGATGCTAAACCTTGGTTCTTGTTATGCATGCAACCCTTTAAACCCGTGATACCGTGTTTTTTTTTTTTTTTTTGCTACCTTGATAATTGCTGGAATTAACGAACAAACACGCTTCTATAGGTTCCATGCAAGTTATTAGGAATACAAGTGATATATAAGCTCATATGTGCATATTTGTTTTATATACGAATGTCAGAAACAAAAGGACATAGCCACCCTTACAACATATGTAAAGCCATGCCTATACTTTTGCATGTTCGTGTTTTTTGCTAAGAGATTTAATTGACAATTAAAATTTATTTACTTAATTTCCAATTTAAGCCTAGATTAATACAAATATTATATTGTTAACATGTAATAACCTACGAAGCTTAAGAAGTAGCCTTAATGTGCTAATTCATAATGTGGTTAAAAGGTTCTGGTGAT